TCCAACAAATTGAATTGTTTTTGTAGGCCAATAAAACACGACAACAAAACAACTTTATCCATGATGGTGGGGGGAGAATGTCATTAATAACGTGGAATTGATACACAAAGTGGATTGGGTTACCTTATATTACCTCATATTATATTACATCAATATTTTTAAAGACATTTCGGGATTTTTTTTTTTTTTTAAAGTTAACTAAGTTTTATTAGAATTTGTTTAAAATTATGTTAACAAAATTTTTGATTTGGTTTCAGGCAGAAATATTATTTCCGAAAAATCAATTTAAAATTGTATTGGAAACCACACAAGTGAGAAAAAGAGTTTTGTTTAGAGAAACTCACGAGGGCTTATTACATAATTCAATGAGGGATTCTCAAATTAGTACCTTTAATACCAAAAAATCTGCTTATGAAAGGTCAATTATATTCTTATAAAGAGATTTTAAACCTAAAATCCTAAAATGTGTTTTGCACAGAACTGTATAAGAACTTAAACTATGGGCAAATCGGTTGTTCTCATATTTCTCGAAATTTTGCGGATATACATACATGGTTAACGTGCAAATATACCCAAGTACTTTTCTAGAGCACAATGAGTCTTCAGCTCCACTTCAGCTCGTCTTTAAAAGAGATTTCCTTTAGCTTCTTCTAAGAGAGACTCTATTTAGCCATTCTGTAAATATATTACCTGCAGCTTATCTTTAAAGACACCCTTCAATTTTAATTTGAAAACTCGTTTCAGCTCATCTATAGAGAGAGACTCGCTTCAGCTCATCTAGAGAGTGAGACTCGCTTCAGCTTATCTATAAAAATAGAGACTCGCTTCAGCTCATCTATAGAAAGAGAGACCCGCTTCAGCTCATCCATAGAGTGAGGCTCGCTTTAGCTCATCTATAGAGAGAGGCTCGCTTCAGCTCACCTATAGTGAGAGAGACTCGCTTCAGCTCACTATAGAGAGACTCGCTTCAGCCCATCTATAGAGAGGGATCGCTTCAGTTCATCTTCAGTGAGAGACTCGCTTCAGCTCATCTGTAAAGAGAGACTCGCTTCAGCTCATCTACAGAAGGACTTACCTTAGCTCATTATAGAGGGATTGGCATTAGATAACACTTCATTTTACCATAACCATCCCTGTACTTTCTCTGCTCCTTGTATTGAACTCACAGCCTTCTCAATTCTAGCTTAACTTGCTTTCAAGACTCACATATAAATCTACAATTCATTGCATTTTATTGTTTTTATTTGCTTGCCTACCCTGAGTCTCGAACTCACAGCCTTCGGTTTTGTAATCGGACGAGCGCAGTCTGTGCCATTTCTCCTTACTTGGTAATGAGAAAAGTGAAGTTTGTTGCCTTCTATTCTTTTTAAGAATAACCCATTATTTTCAACATACTGGTGATGCAGAAGGTAGCTTGTTTACATTACTTTTTAATGGGACATTCGGCTCACCAAGGATTTGCTTGGTAGGTCATTGGAAAATTTTTGGAACCGACCGATCTTTGGTCTTAAAAAATCATAAAATTTCTGCCAGCATTTTCCGAATATTTTCATATCAATTATTTAGAATACTATTACAATTACAATCGAAAACGGAAAAACGGTTGACATACCAGTTTACAATAATCGAGACAATATTTATTAGAAGGTACTGAGGTGAATCCTCTCTATGACGTATTTTCAATTTAAATTCTGGTTCATTTTCCATCAAATTTCCCACAGTAACTTTTTAGATAATTTAACAGATTTATTAAGAGGGTACCGCACACCATAGCTTTGCTTCAATTTTTTTTTTTTTTTTTTTTTTTTTTTTGTAGAAATGTAAATTAACATAAATTAAAATCAAATGGTACCCACACTTTACATGCACATACACACCTTCATCTAATCTTCATTTTTGTGTATGTGTGAAAAAATATGATTTAATTTCTGGCTGGACATTTTGGTTTGTAGTTGTAGTTTTGAAAAAAAAAATGCTTTCTTTGCGTTCATTGCTGTTGTTATTATAAAAATGTATATGGACATTGTTGTTTTTTGTTTAGTAAAAAATTCCCTGTTTCAACGCTGGCTGCTGGCTGGCCACCGGAAACGGGTAATAAAAATGAAAAATAATAATAATGCACAAGCAACAAAAACAACAACAACAACTAACCATCCACCATTTCATTGGAATTACTTTTGCATAAATAAGCAACAATTCTCGTAACATCCACTAACGAATTGCAGCAATGTTGGTTAGTCGCTCTTGCCATTCTTGTTGTTATTGTCGTTGTTTTTGCTGCTACTGCTGTCGTTATTGTTTTTTTCTTTATTAGACCGCACGTACGAGTAGTGGTGAAATTCCACCTACGGCAATTGTTTATTAAAACTATAAAAAATGCATTCTAACAAAACACTTTGTTTTTGTGGATTGAGGGGTAGGGCGGTAGAAGAACAGGGAACATGGCTGGGTTATAAAGAAGTGTCCGAGAAACCACTTCAATAAAATTCCATCCAATTATATACGGTAACGGGCGTCACAGTTAATAACATGGTTAGAGCAAATTGCCAATGGTTTGACTTTGAAATAAAAATAAGTCCTTACAAAATTTGCATTTAAAATATTTAATGTAGAATGAAATGCCGTCTTGTTATGAATATTCATCTTAAGCAGAACGATATTTGGCATTCCCAACATAAAATATTAGAATTATACAGATCGATGCAATCGCAACCAAAATATGACTAATTTTTTAAATTATTTTCTCAGCAGGTTTGTGACCTTCGCGATCACTAAAAACTTCTAGTAACTCAACAGTTGGAAGCCATAGTTGCATCCGCTTAATTAAACAAAGGTGGGAATAACAGTCTTGCCATCAATACCTAAGGATCACTATGACATAGAAAGAAATCAATTTTTTTAGTAAAAGTAATTCTAGACTTCATACGTTTAGTAAAATCATGATTTTTTACCAGGTGTTTTTACAGTAAAGATGAAGTCTAGTTAGCGCATTGATCACTTTTTCATGACTACAGATGTAAAGGAATCACATTTACCTATCCCAGCAAGAAATCTCATTAAAAAACCGAATTGTAGCCCATTAGCTTTACAAGCCAAGTCACACACAAAAGTGTTATTCACTGGCTATAAATAAATAGCTTTTTTAATAGCACCCAAACAGTAACTTCTTATTTGTCGACTTGCAGGGTGAGATGAAAAAACTTCAACCAACTTCAGACTGCTGTCATTTCTAAGCCACTTATTCCAGAGACAGCTCATTATATTGTTTACAAGCGTACAAAGTATTTTGGTGAGAATTTTCCAGAAAAAGTTATTCGTAATGGAATTCAAGCGAAAAGAAAACCACAAGTAGCTATCGTTAGAGCACTCCAGCATTTAAATGTGAATAAATCTTTTGCGTCTCGTACCATCACTCGTTACCGTAGCCCGACGTCTAGGAAGTGGACGGAAGAAAATAGCAACATCGCAGTGGCCGAAAAATGACTCGTGAGCTAAAACATATCGCAATATTCCATTCGGCAAATATTGAAAAATGAACTCGGGGTAAAGCCATTGAAATTCCAAAAAGTGGAAGAACTTACACCGTAACAGAAAGAAAATAGACTCAGAAGAGCTAAAGAGTTGCTTTGCTTGGTCGAAAGTGGTGAACTGCCGAATTTGTTTTTTTTTTCTGATGAGAAAACAGCTGTTTGTAAGCCAACGTGATCGTGTTTGCTTGCAAAATAGTTCAGCTGAAAATGTGCACCTTCGGTTAGCCACCAGAACACAAGCGCCGGCCATGGTGATGGTGTGGGCCGCCATAACAGGCGATGGTCGCTCTCCACTCGTATTAATCGACCGTGACATCAGAATAAATGCCGAATATTATCGCGAAAATATTCTGGAGGGTATATTAAAGCCTTGGGCACGCAAACATTTCGACCGCAGACCTTGGACATTCCAACAGGACTCAGCACCATCGCAATCAGCACGCGCCACCCAAGAATGGTTACAGAATGAGGTTCCTCGCACACAATGACCACCAAAATCTCCGGATACCAATCCGTAGGACTATTGTGTTTGGAGAATTTTGGAAAACAAGGTTGACAAGGTCGATCAACTCTATCAAGCACTTCGCCGGGAATGAGCCAAAGTACCGCAGAGCAACATTCGGGCAGAGTGAGACGGTTTCATTGGATGTTTAAAGGCCATAATTCGTGCCAAAGGTGACCAATTCGAACAAATCGAGACTTATTTTATAATTTGATGCTTTCAATAAAATTAAAAGAGAAATGTAAAATTGTGGCGTTTCACTTTTGCAGTTTTTTTATCTCACCCTGTACAAGTCGCAATTATCGTCCGACCGTCACAATATTTTCCATGGGGGTGGGGTTAAGGTCAGAATAGAAGCCTATTGCTTTTGAAGATGATAGCAAAACATTAAGTAATTTAAAAACGAAACGAAATTTTGCATGGGAATAGACAGTTGGATGGTGGAATGTAACAATGACAAAATTCTATTCATTGAATCAAAAATTAAAATAATTTTCTTTAAAAGTCCAGTTATATATCCTTTACAACATGGTGTTGTAGGGCATCACATGGTCGGCCCCGCATGGCTATAGCTTTTGCTTACTTGTTTTAATTTTACTATTTATTGAAGAGAGATACATGGAACAGAATGAAAGTTTTATAGAAACATAATCCTGTGAAATGTTTGGATCAACGATGATAAACTCTTTCGAATTATATGACACTCATCCGTATTTAAAATGTTGAAATGATGCCCCAGTATATATAGTTTTATGATATCTTTAGTTATCGTGAATCCATGAAGTTAGTTTTAAGATAGTAACTATTGGGTCCATGTTAAAATTATAGATAAATATTCCCCTCATATGACCTTTCGCCTTCCATCAACTTTATTTGATTAAAACTAAACTAAGGACGAACTTATTCCAATGCAAAAACGAATTTATTGGTGTTAAAATTAGTTTAAAATTCATATCTATTTGACTCACCGTAGATTCCATTAAGCTACGTATTAATGCGATGGGTAGGATCTGCAATGTCAAATGTCCACATTTCGATTGTGTTGTTTTCTAAAAGTTTATTTGAATTTGGTTTTAAAATGTTATGTCTGTTTTTACTGTCGATAGTTGTTGAATTCAATGGATTTTTTTATTAGTTATTATGGCATCAATAAATATAAATAAAAAACACAAAACTACTGCATTACTCGATTGTTTGGAAAATCAAATGAAAAAAATTGCATATCAATAAAAAATATTTTTAAAAATAATCACAATCGTTTGTTGAATAAAATGTAGAAAAACACGAAACGTCAGCGACGACAACAAGAAAACTTGATATCAGCTATAAACTGGCAGCAAACTGAACGATAAGGATTATCGCCACTGTTTATGGATGGGGTCGTAACCTTTATTTCTGTTGACTGGCTGGCTGACTGCTTGACTTAACGAACAGAACGAGAGCGAGCGGCAAATTGGGGATATTTAATTCTTATTTTTTCTATTGCAGCTTAAAAGTATTTTTTTGTTTAATTTTTTTTTTTTATTTCACTTTTATCATTTGCTATTTGTTTATTAGGTACTATGTAAATGATATTTAGTTTTTCATTTAGCTTAAAAAAATATAATTTTTTTTTTAATATTTTTTCGCTTGTTCTTGATTTGGGTTCTTTAGTTGTAGTTTTCTATATTTTTGTTTCTTTTGTGTTTACACATTTTCTTTGCTTTCTAAGTTCACTGATCGAGCTCGAATTTCACACTGATCAGAGCTCTGATCATACGCCCAAAGTCATTGGTTTTTTGAACAGTTGTTCTCGTATCATTTCGCCAGCCCTCCATCCAGCCAGCAGCCAGCCAGTCAGCGAGACTGTCCACTCATTAAGTAGTAGTAATAGCACACACAGTCTTCACACACAATCAAAATCCCCGCCTGCCAGCCAGCATTTCATCATAATGCGCCCCCATATCTTGGCACTAATCAGTACGAAGAGTGTAGTCACTAGCAATTTAGTCAATCACATACCATGGACAAATGAAACAAATGTACATACGTACACCCTCCATTGTATGTTTTATTGAATGTGAGTGCGATTGCGCATGTCATCCCAGATCGCATTGGAAATGAGCGTAAATGTAAGAATATTTGATGATGAGTGTGGAGATGATGTTCAATGCAAGCATGCTGGCCAGCCGACCGGACCAGTGCTATTTGGTATGGTTTTAAATGACTGACCATAGAGTTGAGCTATTTCCCCACACAAATACACTCTCACACACATTCACTTTAATTTGATTGAGCGTCCAACCTCCGAGTTCATTGAGATCACAGTCAACAAGATCTTCTTCACTACCGAATATGAAAAGAATTAAAAAATCAATTGATTTAATTAAAAAATGACCATACGGCCTCCGCTAGTTATTCTACTCAATACACTGCGGAAGAATTGTTTATGTCAAGTATTATGTGAAGTGGCATTAAGATGAATAAGGTACTCAGACAAGTTGCAACAAATTTTATGGGAATTAAACTAGTGTAGGTACGACGTAGTTATACAATCAGATTTAAGGATTAGAATCGGTTGACCTCCCATTTAGTAATAGCGATAGTTAGTGTAAATTTCATGTGGCCTGAGTTATACCCTCTACAACTATGAAGCTTTAGCAGAAGAAAATATATTAAAAAAATATATGAAAAATGAAAAATAGGTGTGTGCGTTGCGTCATTTAAATCAATTTAGTCTAGACTTGAGTCTTTTCGAAATTTAATAGTTTAATCCAAAATTAAACCTGATTGGACAAATGTAGCGAACTTTACATAGAATTAAAGAGAAATACATGTATCAGCCTTTTTTGGGTAATTTTAGATACTTGTTGCACAATATTCTTTATGTCGCAAGTATATGTGTGGTTGATATCCTTAAATTGGATTCGATTATCACCAATTTAAATAGGGTTCGTCCAAACAAATTTATATTGCGAAAATTCAACTCATTCGTACAATAAATGCTACCTGTATTTTGCTTACAAAAATAAAGAGATACGAACAAACGAACGGGCGGGCGTGCATAAATTGACCCAGATTGTGATTATATGCAAATCATGAAAATCCTATTAACAAAAAACTGAAACGTGGTCAAAGTCGAGAAACACAAATGCCTCCGTCCAATTTAGTGGAAATCGTGTAAATAGTGTAAAAACTTAATACGCATTCAAAAACGATCATAGTTGGCATGATCGACGATATAAATTCCAAATATAAATGTATATTTTTACAGATATATACACTACTTTCTGAACCCGCATTCAAAATTGTATAAACGAATATAAATTGGCTTAAAAAAATAAAACAAATTCAAAAATAAGCAAGTAAAAAAGCAGTAAGTTCGGCCGGGCCGAACTTGGAATACCCTCCACCATTTGGAACTAATTAGAAAATTTTCAAAAAAAAAAAAAATCCATTAAATGTTTTTTAATCTTTACAATATCTAATATAGGAAGGTGCCGATATATGGGGGTATATATGATTGTGGACCTATTAAGACAAACCTATGTCTGGGTGTAAAGTACTCACAAGGAACTCCTTGTGTGGATTTTCAGACAATCCCGTTGAAAAATGTGGGTAAAGTTATCAAAATACCGAATATCGGGGGTACCGTCATATGAGGGATATACGATATCGTGGACCTATATAGACAATTCACTCTCAGGGGTAAAGTATTCATAAGGAACTACATGTGAGAATTTTCAGACAATTCCATTGAAAAATGTGGCTAACATCTTCAAAATATCGAATATCGGAGGGTACCGTTATATGGAGGCTATATCGTGGACCGATATAGCCCATCTTCGAACTTGACCTGCATGCAGACAAAAGAGAGATCTGTGCAAACTTTTATCTTCCTATCTTAATTCGTTTAGACTGTAGCGTGATTACAACAGACGGGCGGACATGGCTAAATCGTCTTAGAATTTTACGCTGATCAAGAATATTCATACTTTGTTGGGTCTAAAATGATTATTTCGATGAGTTACAAACGGAATGACGAACTTAATATACCCTCCATACTATGTATGGTGGAGGGTATAAAAATGTATTGTAATATTTCATTGCGTAAATAAATAGCTCGGTCTACCAACGCGTGAACATGACAGGAACAGCTGACCATGAGAAAAGCAGGAACATGCCAAATTTTGTCCGCATAAACGAAGAGTTTATCATTCGGATTTATTAATTTCATAGCAAATGTCAAGCATGCAGGAAACTTCCATATTTAGAAGTTGAGTGGAATTTCTGTTGCAATTAGGAAATTCGAGGTAGCAACATAATTTCACGTAATAATCGTATCCTCAGTTAAATTGTTGTGTAGTTGTTTACTGTTAACCTAATACCATTGAAAATGCGTTGTGGGTCAATGCTTCTTAATAAAATCACATCCCAATCTGAACCGATTTCAATATAATTTGACAAAATTTACTATAACACCAAATTCCGTCACACTTTTCATATTTCATTGAAATTGGTGCGTCAAATGCGTGAAATTATTATTGTAACAAAATTCCGCCACACATTCTGAATATCATTGGAGTCGGCTTTTATATATATATACATATATTTGGTGCAAAACACATATGAAATCGGCCGAAATATATATATGGTAGCCATATTCAAACCTCAACAGATTTCACTATATTATGGCAATTTTTTTTGGGTACCAGATTTTGTCTCTATGTCTGAATTTCTTTGGAATTGGCCATACATATTGCGTTGGGTGCATCAAATATGTGAAATCAGCCGAAAATATATATGCGAGCTATATCCAAATCTGAACCGATTTCAATATGATTTGACACATTTATTTTTGTACCAAGTTTAGTCACTCATCTCGAATTTCATTGGCATCGTATCGTGTTTTGTGAGTCAAATATGTGAAATCGGCCGAAAATATGTATGGGAGCTAGCTATATCGAAATCTGAAACGATTTCAATATAATTTGACAAATTTATTTTCTGATCAAAATCCCGACACACATTCCAAATTTCATTGGAATCGAACATACATATCGTGTTTGGTGCATCAAGTACATGAAATCGGCCGAAAATGTGTATGTGAGCTATATCCAAATCTGAACCGATTTCAATGGAAGCTATAGCTTTATCTGAGCCGATTTTCACCAAATTTAATGTACTTGCTACTAGACTGCATTAAGTTGGATAACCCCAATTAACCCGAAATCGGATGAGGATATACATGAGAGCTATATCCAAATCTAAACCGATGCTGAAAAAATTTGGTACCCTTATTTCAGAGCTGTATTTGATATCTGGTACCAAAGATCATTGTAGTGGAATGCATATTACGTATGTGGGGGACTTATGATCCCAAATTGGATGAAACATATATATGGGAGCTAAAGTTATATCTGAACCGATTTTCCCCAATATTTATTGCCTTGCTGCTAGACTGAAGTGGGATATATCAAAATACAGGTCATTTGGACTTATATTAGCCATTTGGTGCACAAATAACCCGAAATCGGTTGAAGATATATGGGAGATCAGATTTAGATACAAATCTGATCCGTTTATCACCAATTTCAATAGGGTTCGTCCTTGGGTCAGACAAATATTCTTTGCAAATTTGCAAAATTTCATCACAAACGGATAATAAATGCGACCTGCATTTTGTTCACAAGAATACATGGACGGACAGGCGGACTGACATGCGTAAATTGACTCAGAAAGTGATTCTATGAATTTCCTCAAAACTAAGTATGGGTCTATCTTGCTTCCTTCTCCATGTTACAAACAAATGCACAAAGACATAATACCCTTACCACTATGCGGTGTAGGGTATATACACGTTAACATTTCTAATTCAAAAATCCTTGTTTAAAATTTGAATATGGTTCCCATGTAGGTTGCCTTGACTGTAGTTCTACTTAAATTGTTTGTCACAAAAGCCGCACTTAAAACAGAATCATGTTTGAGGAATGTGCTTGGGTGTGCGTGTATTCATGTAAACTCTTTAGGTATTTACACACACACACATTCATACATACTGGAAATATTCGTACACTTGTACAAGGTGTAGGTGGTGTGTATGCAGTTGTTCTAAATTGTCATTTGTATTCCACATCATCTTCTTAGTCTGATTCTTCACCATCACAATCTGCTCCGTCGTCTTCTTTTGTAATGCTCTCAACCTCAATGACAATTGCAAGATTAACACTAATGCACACAATTGCAATATGCCACTGCCATTGTGGTGGTTGTGGATGGTGGTGGTGGTGGTGGCGGTAGTGGTGGTACTCTACTTTTCTCCACACTTTGTGTTGTTCTTGTTGTAGTTATTCCATTTAAATCAGCTTACAACAAGAAAAGTATGACTGAGACTATTTTAAGCAGCTGTGAAATATTTTTGGTTGCTGGCTTCCATTTGCCACCGTCAGCCTCATCATCATCATCATTGCTACTGTCGCTTTCTTAAAGGCATTTTGATTGCACTGCTGCCTTCTACAAGTATCACAAAAAATGAGTTGCATCCTTGGCTTGTCTTGAGCCGACCATGATAGTCGTCCACATCGTGTGTACGGGGTGTGTGTCTGTTTTGATGTAATTGTTGCGGTCATGCAGAAGGAAGGGAGCAGGGTGGGTTTGTACTTTCGGCCGTCTGTCGGCCTTGCTTTCATGCACATAATATGAAGACTTTTTTCTGTTCATAATTTTTATTGTGTATTCATGGAGATAATTTCGTATTCAGTCAATTTAAATTAAAGTCTATAAATAAGTATCGTCTTTTTTGGGGCTATTGTATATAAATTCTCAGCGTCAACACGATAACACACAGAGGAATGAGTAAATGTTTGAACCTACTCATGTTTATTTAATACTAGCTGGCCCGGTCCGCGTTGCCGGCCCGTAGTTTTTGTCTATTATGCATATTTTCCCAAGCATAATTATTCACAGATATGACTGATATAAGTGTTCACGTACATGTCGATTTAAAGTGTTTTAAAATACCTGTACCCATTTTTAACCAGTGGGCTTCAATATTTAAACCGTGGGCTTCAACTGTGTGGATGTGCTATACAAATCTATTAAAAAGTATATATCAATCTTATCGCCATATAAGGGATCAAATTAATTTTTAATATGGTAAAAATCGTAGCAAAATCTTCCAGTCAAATGAGCAGTAATTTGGAATTTGCTGTATTTTGTATACTACATAATTGAGGGCTGAATGATTTAAGAATAGCCAAAGTTAATTACTTTTTTAAACCCATTAG